TCGTCTCGTTTGTGGACTTTCGAGCTTATTTTATTCGCTTGTTTTCATTTACTTATTTTCCATCTGTATCACAACAGATACGGGGAGTGTAAGAATTACTAACAAAATAATCACGTGATTTCCTCACCGCACGCATTAACATTGGTGTAGAGTCTCACATCTTGTATGATTTCACCTTTTGTAAAATAAAGGTCGATCGATTGTAGTTGGTTTTGGTTCTCGATACGATTTATGGTTTTGCTTTTGAATATGATTTATGAATGTTGGAAATTATGTATTTGTATTTCCTTAACTTTTAATACATGTGTATTCAGTCAAGAAATTCAAAAATACAGTAAAACAGTTAATGAAACAAAGCAAAGCTCATTCGTCTTGAATCAGCATGTTGTTCCAATGCCTATTGTCCACGATACCTTGGTCTTCTGTATCTATCACCAACTGATGAAATGGATATGTCCTTTTTCTCTCCGTAATATAAATTACTAATTGTGTAATTAACCAAGGCTGTGCTCTAAAAAAAGTGGAAGGAACCTGTGAAATGCAGGGTTCCAACATAAACTAGGACTTTTATGAAAGAAAAAGCAACTAACTTTTCCAAGTCACCTGAGCGCAAAAGCACCGCTAGAGTAGTCTTGTTCAGCATGATAATAATAAAATGTTAAGCTGCTGGGAATATTTGTCTTGTCTATATCAGACTAATGAAGATCATTATGCACACAGTGTTCTGCCTTTGCCAATGCAACAAGACAAATAATTCTGTGATCATTTAATTAACCTTGCATTAGTGTACTAGCATGTGGAAGATCCTAGGTTCAATTCCAATCTGAAACTCAGTATTTTCTGAGTTCCTCTCTCCACACATATAATTTCATTTATTATTATCTCTCTCAGAGAATATATTCTGCCGCCCAGTTAGCTCAATGGCGTAAACGATGGTCTGCTGAGCAGGAGGCCGTAGGTTCAAACCCTGGCCGGACCAATTCTCAGGGTCTTAAAATAACTGAGAAGAAAGTGCTGCCTTTGTAGTAACATCTGCAAACGGTTAGACTTTCTAGTCTTCTCGGATAAGGACAATAAACTGTAGGCCCCGTCTAACAAGCCCTTGCACATGTAATAAATCTGTGGGACGTTAAAGAACCCACACACTTTTCGTAAAGAGCAGGGCACATAATGCCCAGTGTAGTGGTCTATCTCACTTTCACACTCATGTATGGGGGCATCATTACTCATTGCTTCATCACTTGTAAACTACACCTTAAGCAGTCTCGCAAAGTCCCCCAACTAGTGTTGTAAATTATCCCTGAAAAGCCCTGAGGGGAGTGGATAATAAGATAATTACAATTTACAATTTGTGACTGCACAATGCAGTTACATGTAATGCATGTGTTTATTCGACATAATGTGACTGCATGATGCAGTCATTTTGTCACTACTCACAACTGACCAGCACACCACTAGTGTTCCCAGCAACTCAGTGGTCAGAGCATTGGACTAATGTCTAGGTCATGGATTAAAATTCCCATCTGGAACTCAGAATTCCTTTCCACACACAATAATTCCATTTATTATCATATTTCTTGTACCCATTAAGTGTATAGATCCTACGGTAGCTTTTCCATTCGTGACCGATACCATGATGATCTCCCCAAAATGTCAGTGGTGGAAAATCAAACAATTATTATATTAAAGTTCATCGTTTTTTAAGTACCCAGAGTGGACAAGTGTGTATGTCTTTTGACTCAGTATACAGAGAATTAAAGTAAATCATTTGCTTGAGTCACATTCAAATAATGGATAATTGAATTGCACTTACTTGACAGCTTAAGGGCAATCCTTCCTAGGTAACTGTCATCTGAATCTTTTCCTGGTTCCTGGGTGAAGTTTCTAAAATTACAAAGATGCTCTTGTAAATTTCCTTAATACGATACCATGAGGGGTGGGGTCATGATTGCAAGGCCAGAAATCATCAAAGTTTGAGTGATTTACATTCAGGCTGGCACCCCGGGGGGTGGGGGTACTCCCATACATTACCTATACGGTTATGTGCCGCCCAACGGGGTTGTGATTTTGAAGTTCCTGATTTAGAATGGGGTATCCATTTCAGCGGCGTTTTCTAGAATGGGGTATAATATTTCGAACGCACGAAAGCTCCAGTTTTGTAATCAGCCATTGGAAATTATTCAAGGACAGATTGCTTTTAAGAGTACGGTTCAATGCGTTAACAAGCAAACTGTTGTACTCTTGTTGCACCCTGTGTTTTAGCGTGCAGGGTGGGCGTATTTTGGCGCGAGCCGCGAGCGCTGACTCCGCCATCTTGGATAAATAGTCCCATTTCTAGAACGGGGTATCAGTTTTAGGGCGAATTCTAGAACGGGGTATCAATTTTAGGGGAAATGTTTTTTAGAATGGGGTGCAAATTTGGAGTACCGGGCGGCACATACCCACCCAAAAAATACCCAAGTGCCCCCCCCCCCCCGGGGCTGGCACGCAGTGGTCTTAA